GCCCAACTGTGTTGCCCTGTACATGCCTAAAAAGAAAAAAAAATGAAGATTTCTACCCTGAAGACCGAGTCTTCTACAGATTGAAACTGCAGCAAGTTTGTACGCGGACTCTCTATGGGGACCAAGTCTCAAAACCTGGCGAGTTAAAACAAGGTAACTCGCTGAGGCAAATAATGGCTCATGTTGGATATCTCAAACAAATAAGAAGAGAAACAATTTAAACACATACATATATAGAAAAGAAACCATGGGAAAAACATATATGGCCACATATAAGCTCACACATTTATGATACTTTCATGATATTCTGTGATTATCTTTTGTACTGGTTTATAATCCTGTATAATTCATTGGAAATGTTATTGTCAAGATATTTCTGAAATGGCTTCCATAAGGTTTAAGTGAAACCGAAGTGATAAGATAAAATTTTTATTGAAACTGAGCGGTTAAAACTTGTATGCTATAGGCCCCTAACCCGGATTCGCCTATTGCAATATTGTCCGTTTTTGGTGCCCCTAAACGGATTCGCACGCACGGTTTAATTCAATATCCCACTCAACGGCCTGTAAGGGCCGGAAGTTTCCAAACTGTTTATGGGGGCGCAGGGATCTGCTATTCTATTGTCGCGACATAAGCCTTAATCTACAATGGTTTCTACCCAAACCTCAATTGGAGCTTCATAATTTAAGCCATTATTCAACAATTGTAACACACAATAGCACCATAAATGGTTTTTTGCAACTTTCAAGTTTCATCCTATTGATTTGATTTCACACCATAATAATGCTTACATTTTGTTTTGAAATTCATGTTCTTATGTTGTTTGTATTTTTTGTTTTGTAAAAATGATTGGATGGCATGCATGTTGATGCAAAAGAAAAGGAATAAAGAAATGTGATTACATAAGCAATTGAAATGCAAAAAGGAGGGTCAACAGCCACAAGTCGCGGGACCGCGTATTGTGAAGTCGTGGAGCGCGAACTTTGTGCACCCTAAGGAGTCAGATGTGTTTTCTGGTGGCTGAACAAGTCGCGACCGCGCAGCACAAGTCCGCTCTGTGACGGATGCGCGAGATGAATATAAGTCGCGAGCGCGCTTGTGGTGATTCGCAAGATGCGCGAGATGCGCACTCATGAGAGTCAGGAGAAGAACTTACTGCCGCACAAAAAGTTCAGCAGACCGCGCATGTGAAAGTCGCTGGAGCGCGAGTTGTTTGCCCATTTGAAGAGTCTCAGAGAGCTACCTGAACTCAAAGTCTCGCGGAATAGAGCGCGCAATTAAGGAAATCGCTCTGACCACGGTGCGCGACTTGCCTTCCCAGTATGCGCGACGCGCGCGACGTGATTCTGTGCAGTCTGTGTTCTTTTTGGGCCATTTTAACTCTCAATATACAACTTCAAATTGAATGATTTCAAAAAGCCCATGTAAAGCTAACAACAGAAAGGAACAAAATATAACTTCTTCTATGACAATCTTATTCCATCATTTATTTATGGGTTTCCAAAATCACAGATGAAGTTTGCTGGTATAACATTTCCAGCAAAAACTCTGTTTTCCGTTTCATTGATATTCAATTCCCCTGTTTTTCACATTCATTTCCAGTACTTTCCACCCAACAACAAGCAAACATATCATCATCAATGAGCAACAACTCCACACAATTTTTTTCATTGGCAAAAGAAACAGGGAAAATAACAAGAGATTATCAAAAACCTGGTTCTTAGCCACCAAAGCTGGGCTCTGTTTTTAAACTTCTCTTTCTGCTACCTTTGAATTTCTTCTCCTATACACAAGAATTCATGAACTCATCTCCATTATAACTCAATTAAAGGAGTGGGATAACATATAGCTTCAAGGAATTCTTACTTACTTGGAGTGGACTTAGTTGCTTAACGTGCATGAAACTTGAAAGGAAACGGGAGGGAAAGTAAAGAAAGAGAATATGGAAAATGGGGGAAAGTGGAGCTGAGATAAGAACGGAGGTTGACTCTAGAAGAAGTTGATTTGGCTGTGTAAACTTCTCTAATTGGATACCTCCAAGTATACAAAGGCTACAACTTACTACCCGAAGCTATATGTTTTGGAGGCAAACAAGTCCTAAAACATTTCCATCTGCAAATAAGTTCCACTTATCCATCTCATGCTACCCCAAACCGGGGTTTGGGTTTATTTTAAACCCCCACTTCAACCCTTCCTCTATGAAATGACTCAAACTCAACGCACTAGGATGTTTACAATCCATATATATTATACTTGTAGTAGTTAACCATACGCCAAAACTATAATTCACACTTTCTTTTCTTTTCCGTATCATTATTATAACTTAAGATCCCGAATTACAACTTAATAATTATGTGAATCAATCATCTCTCGCCAAAGCCAAAATTTCAGGTAACGAACCCATTTTATTCGTCTTTCTCAAATTTCATAAATAAGCATTTATACATCAAAATCATCATGGAAATCTTGATAAGTATGCTCATTTACGATTATATTTATCCTTCTAAGGACAAATACAAAAAAAAAAAAATTCCAATGTAATTACTGGTCAATTCGCAAAAAAAGAATTAGAAGTTTCTAGTTCTTTAAAATCATGGATCCACACCAACTAACCTAATCCACCCAAGAATTATGATTTACAACCTTTAATATGTAGCATTGTTTTCAAACAAAAAATCAATAGAAATAAGTTGAAGATAGTTGCTGCTTTTTACCAGAAATTTTCTCAGTACTTCATTAAACGTTTGTCAATTAGTACCTTCTACACTTATAACAAATTATGGAAGGGGCACATTCGTTCCATCAACAAATAAACATGGTTTCAAGCAAAAAATCCCCGTGAATGGATTTCCGCTAGTTAAGGCTGCCACTTTATCAAAAGAAAGATAGAAAAACCTTAAGTGTTTGCGTTTTAAACTTACCAACATTATTTACGATGGTTAACCCATTTTCCAATCAAAGAACTCAATTTAACAACTTCAATTTGCTTTCATATCACAAGATTTTAGTTTCAAAGAATTTAAAACTTAAAATGGGCTGGCTGCCAACCTAAGAAAAATCAAGGTTTTCCTCACTCAAAAATCCATATTATAAAACAACTTTAGTTGACTTCATTTACCAACAAAAAACTTAAATTTATCATGTTCAATTGGCCTCATTATCAAAGGCAGAAAAAATTTTGAGCAAACAGCCATAGGTTGGCTGCTTACCATAGTTCAACAATCATTCTAATTTCTTTCATAGGCGATCTACAATAAACACCCTAACTTACACATTTCCTTTTGAAACGATGCAGTTATTAGTGTCAATTAATAGTCAAAAATTCAGGATTTTCCAACTTTCTTTTAGATCGTGTGAATTACGTGTTTTCAGGAACCTAGCATTTTCTCATTTCATGTGATTCTACCAACCTTTCCTCAAATAAACTATTGAATAAGTTTAAAAAATTGAAGGAAAAAGGGATCATAATAGAGCTCACCAAGGTTTGGATGCGACTTTACCCTACTACCGGGAGCCGTGATCGCATTCTCGGTTCGCTGCAGCCAGCCAGACGGAAGCGAGGATGAGTGAAGAACGGAGAGATCGAAGCTTCTCGTCGACAGGAGAGAGACTTGGAGTCGCCGGTCGAGTCGAGATGCGACGCTTACTTCCCGATTCGGAGTCTCCTGTGATAACTTGCGGTTTCGCCACGGGAGAAGAAACAAAAAATGGAGGGAGAGAAAGGAATGCCGGAACTGCTGCGGCGAGGAGGCGACGGCGAGGGCAGGCGCTGGTCTCAGGCGGTCGGAAAGAAAAACGAGAGGAGGAGAAGGGGAGGGAGGGTTGACGCTGCTGGAAGAAGAAGAAAAGGAAAAGAAAAAAAAAAAAAGAAAAGAAAAAGGGAAAGGAGAATTCTATTAAAGGCTGTCTAAGGGGGACCAATTCCGGGTTCGATTCGGAAACCGATTTTTTGGGTCTAATTCTATTGATTTGGCTTCAATTTGCTGCGTTTTCTTAGTTTTTTCGCTTGATCTCTTCTCTTTT